TCACTCAGGAAAAAGACTCAGGGGCTGGCTACAGGCAGTAGTTGCAGCCAACAAGTACATAAATTCTTTTAAACATCCAGCCATGCTGTCAACATGAAAGAATAGGTGGATGAGCCTGGACCATGACAGTCCCATTCTCTGTGGAGGGCAGAGAAGCTCCAGCTCAAGAAATTTCTAAAGACCAGGGTAACTTTTTATTTACATGGTGCCACTACCTGCTTTTTCCTACATTGAAAATCTTACTGGTGTCTTATCATCTAGCGGTTTCTGTGGGACAGTAAGTACTTTTCAAGAAGTGAGCTAAAGCAGTCGGAGCAGAACCACAGCCAGCAGAGGCTCAAATTATCCGCCTGCCAGAAAATCCAGTTTTACCTCCAGCTGTGTGAGCACACGACCTGACAGCAACCCCATGATAAAGCCAACGAGAGTCCTACAACCTGCCTGCAGCTCCAAAACCAGTCTGGGACAAGTAACACGCCACTGTGTTATTTGAGGAACTACAGAGGTGTACTCCTTGCTGGCCTTTTGTAAAAAACATACCCAGTCCCATCTCTCCAGTGAGGGGAACAATTATTAAAGCTACGGCTCCTAGCCCTTCCACTTCTGCCATGCTGCTGATCTTTCTGCATAAGGCTTTGTCTAAATAAAAACAGGTGTATTTCTCCACCTGCTCAACACCCAGAATTCTGCATATGGGAAAATGTAACCTTGCTCCAGGACCAGGGCTGAAAAAGGAAACCATATAGAAATGCACATGCAAGAGGAGCGCTGAACAGTTCAGGAGGCAGAAGAGTTAGATCCAAGCTATGCAGACCCTACTGAGCTTATGAAAATATTTTTAACAGGGATGTACTGTAGCTTTCCACTGTTCAGGCAGCTATAACTTACCATATCTGTGACTTTTTCACGGAAAGCTTTAGAAGTGTTTTCTGATTTAGAGTTTGAAAAAGTGGCAATTTTTTTTCTCCTGTTTGAAGGGGGCCTGTTGCTTTGTTTCTGGTTTGTTTTTTAAGGATCTGGATGGAAATGACACCAATAAACACATGGGCTTATTGTGTACGTGGAAATTACTCAGCCAAAAGGCAGTTTAAGGGCACAGTGGAACATGAACCAAAATAAGGATTATCTGGTTGTAAAACCTTTGTCCACCCATCAGTTTCAGATTTGTAAGTGACAACTAACTGTTGAGAGTGACAAAACCATCTCATACCAAGACACCGAGCAGCAGACTAACAAAGTCTGTTGAAGAGAAATCCCTGCAGCCAGCAGCTGTGGAGGTCAGTACAGAATAAAAAAACTAAATCAACTACAGATGGTTTCCCAGATGCTTGAATTTGCTGGATAGAGAAGTGTTTCACCAGGAATACGCTCTGTGCCTTGTCATAAGGAAGCAGAGACTGGAGTCTAAAACTTGGGGAAGAGTGAGAAAAACAAGAAATGCAATTTAGCATGTGGATGTTTTTGCGCTTTTAGGTTAAGAAATTGGTTCCACCACTAGACAACAAGGAACATGAGTCATCTGCCAGCCCAGGAGAGGGAAGTGAAAGAGACAGGATATTAAACTTGAGGTAATAAGAGCGAGAGTAGTTAGAAATAGAGGAGAACCTGCAGGGAAAAGACCTACATATATTTTGCTTTCGGCTTGAACTGAAGCAACACGCTCGCTCAAACAGGCTGGAACAAATCAACTCCTGCTCGCCTGCCCTCGATTTTAATGCCCATCTCCCTCATTTCTCTATGTTTCATGGCAGCACAACCCACCCCACAGCACAGACATCCCCTCGCCCCCTTAGAAGGAAAGACCAAAGCCTCAGGGTTGTGAAGTTAACATTTAACTGAACTGAAATTGACGTAAAACAGAGGGGCAACAATGGCTCAAGTGCTCATTAATAAAACACCCCAGGAAAGCTTCACATACAGAGTCTTAATGCAGTTTGTAATAGAAACAACCGAACAAGTGGTAAGAGTACTCTCGAAGCCAGCAAGGGGGATCTACAGCCTGGTTTCAAACCTTCCTGCTCCCAAGTATTTTCCGCCCTGGATCAATTTCATACCTTCCTCCCTCAAAAAGATGATGGAATTGCTGGCCACAACCCTTCCCCATAAGATAACCGAATGACAGCAAACTTAGGAAAAAGCCCATAGTTCAGAGTAGTTACACGGCTTTGCATGAATCAGCATTTATGTATCTAAGAAGACTGGTTGTGACACTATTTTAAAAAAATGCTAATAAATGAGCAAAGTTATAATATCAACAGTAACCCAATTTCTGTTTAAGACCTATTGAATTGCTTCAAACACTTGTCTGTTAAAAAAAAAAAAGACCTTCCAGCAGATGTTTATCTTTTTTAAATGACTGAGAAGATCAAGACTTAAAAGTCATCGAGCGAGCTGCTTCAAGTGACAGTTTAAAGTCCATCTTGAACTTTTTTTAAAAAAATAGATTTGCTTTGGGCACAGTTTTTCTCCCGCATACCTCAGCAAGATTGGAAAAATCCTCACAACCTGTGGTTTGTTGTGTTTTTTTTTCAGCCAACTGGGAAGGACTACTGCCTCCCTTTCAATCACATATTTATTCTCTTTTTTATGAACCACAGTGAGATTCAGTTTGCATGAAGGAGCACAGTTGCCCCTTCTCTATACCAATAACCATTTGGATCTGTAGTAGTGTAACCCCACACGATGGTACCATGGGCAAAGTTTGCTTCTCCAAGTGAGCAGCCCAATTTGACAGGAAAGGCAGTAACACAGCCAGAGGTACTGCTTCAAGGGGCTCTCAACATGTGCCGAGCAGGAAAGTCACCTCTAGGGACATGACAGATATAGAGAATACACACAAGGCTTCAGAAATGCTTGATGCAAATGGGCAAAACCTTCAATTAAGGCTTTTACAGTAGTTCGCCAGGCCTGAGGATGACTTGTGGCGCTGACCCCCAGCTGCAACGTGGCCTGTAAACCAGAATACGCAAGAAAACACGAGTAAAAGGTGGGGGAAAAGAAAACAATCCATTGATTGCCATGGGTCTCAGTTATACAGCAACAGCAACACGACGAGATGTCTGTAGCAGCATCATGTGTCCCCAAAGGACGGATAACATCGGATCCCGGCCCATGTTCACGCAGAGAGTGCGGAGCTGCCAAAATGGGTCCCGACATCAGGAACTTCACAATATTTTAACTTGAAGGGCTGCTTTTTCTAGGTTGAAAGCTCCTCACCCAGTGCAGCTGCAGCAGAACCGTTGTAAATTTAATGGACTCTGCTCTTACAGGGGGCGTTTCGGCGTGTGTACAGTCCAGATCAACTCTGTTGTTAAAACCAGACAAACGCAGCTCTCAAGCGGAAGCAAGAAGTCATCTTCTCTTCATTTTGCTGTTTGAAATGTGCAGTTGAAAAGAACCTTGTTAATCCAAGGGACCCAAAGTCAACCCGGCGTCAAGCAGGCAGCACAAATGTCACCGCTATTCCATCTTCATGAATGGGACGTCTTCAAATCCACCAATTTAAGGCAAGAAAAATCTGTTGCTCCTGAATGCATCTTTTCCACCAAACGAACGTTTTCTGGTTTACAGTGATACACAAAAGTTTGGGGTCTTTTTTAGAAGCTGGAGATAAAGTCTATTAGTGATAGTACCAAAGTTTTGGCAAAAATCCCCCACTCGGATCTGTAAACATAACTCTTCCCTTTTCAATTGGCAGCATTCTGAAAAAAGACAAACACAGTAAGACACGCAAAGATTTTGCCAAATACTGACTAAATAACTTGTGTTTTCACATGATGAAGTAAGCAATGGTTTACATCGACACAAAACAAAAAAAACGCATTAAATGGAAGTTTGTGCTGTTTGGTGATCACAGTATTTTATAGTTAAATATATCTATTTTGTTATGTTCCTGGCATCTAGGACAAATATCCTTAAATATATACTTCATGTAGGCAATAGCTTCTTTGCGTATCTCTCTTCAAAAAAATATTTTATAGTAGTATATAAATAGGTAACCTACATATGTAATTTTATAATCTTGCTCAAAAACTATATATCTGTTCAATTTTTTCATCAAGTATCAGTTTCCCCAATATTCTTAAAGCTGACAAACTATTGAAACAGAAATGTTCCCACCTTCCACAACAGAAGTAGCAATTTTATAGGAAAAAAAAAAAACAAGAAAACCCCTCTACGACACTCATAAGTTGTTTCAACCTGAGCGTTTGGTCTACTTAGAGTAGCAGCTTTTTTTTTATTATGATTTTTTTTAAATCCCCATCACTCATGTTCACACCCACACACTTCTGCTCACTCATGTTCACACCCACACACTTCTGCACACACGGGGTACAAGCACACACATCCAGACACTGGTAGGCCACGTGGTGCTTCCCAGGTTAAAAACAGGAAGCGGTGTAACTAATAACTTAATCACGCTAAACGCACACAGGCAAACACCTTAAGGCAACCACTGCAATGGTGTGTTTAAATTGCAGCGTTGAGTTTGTTGTGCCACGGCTGGACGCAGCACATACACATGCCTCTCCAACCCTCCAAAACAATATGATTGTTTTTTTTGGGGGGGGTGTGTATTTTTGTGGTTTGTTTTTTTTTAAAAAAAACCCAACAACTCAACTTTGTGCAAATTTCTACATCTTCTACCATTTAAGGCAAAGAGTTTGCATTAACAAGAAAGGTCAAAAACAGCATTATGCTTATCCCAGAGCATTTCAACTTGCTACAATACGTTCTTAAAATGTGCACAACTTCATAGCAGAGGTACTGGGAACCCAGCACCTACCAGTCTAATTATTTAAATGGACAAACATAAGTCTTGAAGAAAAGTAGGGACCAGAAAAAGCAGCTTCAAATAGGCATATAAGCAACATCAAAAACAACAAAATGAGTTAACTCTGCTAATACTGAAACTTCTGTAACACATGAGTTTGATACTAATTTTTAAAATCCTAGAGCAGTTAATCCTAAGTTTTAAATAAGTAAGCTGCAGTTCATTCTCATGTGTTGGCTGAAGCAGAAGACAAGTGCCATGACTCTGCTTGCCGTTGGTCAAATTCCTCTATTAGTCTCTGAATGTGTGACAGCTTGTTGTGAAGATACTCGCATCTATGCTTCTCTTCATGGTAGCTGGGGCTAGACTGTAAAGATAAGATAAAAAAGAAAATTGAGGCATAAACATATTTCTGCAGAGTTTAATAGTTCATGTCCCGTGTGTAAAAACAGCCTGGAGCCAATCTCAGTGATTGCTACCTCCCACAAATCTGGTGTTATACATACCTGTTTAATCTTTCGATACTCTTCTATGACTTCGTCATGAAGTATCTTCAAGACAAATAAATGAAAACAATATGAAGAACATTTCATGACTACTGGAAAGTGCAAATTTACGTCAAATACCAAAAATGCATGCAATTCCACTCAAAATATTTCCGTATCCACAAACCACCACTCTCCTGCATGGCAAAAAACGACCCACATCACCCCATATCTGCAATTAAATCTGTACATAGGCAGTAAAAGGAGCATGTGTTTGAAGATTCCCTTTGAGAAGTTGCTCATGGCACTGCATGGTCATAGACAGCTTCAGCAGGTGGAGTCTCAAGGGCAAACAACTTTTTGCAGGGTTCTGACAAGCTTCCAAAATCGGAGCTAGCCCATGCAGGGTCTGAGCATGTATGTAAATTCTGTGAGGTTTCCCTTTGCCTAATTAAGCAGTGCCAGGGATTTTAAAACACTATTTCTGCTCACAAACACATCCACAATCTGGCCAAAAACTAATTAAAAGCCAACCACACCAATGTAATTAGACCAACAGACCGAGGAGTCTGCCTGAGCTGAAAACGTGCTCTTTTGGAACGGCTAAGAGAGAGGGATGAAACACCATCTTCACAACTTTATCCTTTACCTGAAATTCTTTGGTCCCTGGAGAAAGAAGCTTCCGCTGCGCTTGAAACTCCTTAAATTTTCTGGAGATGCTCTCCATCCGAGCATACAGGCTCCTGTACTCATCAAACTCTGCACTGAAGTCATCCTTATAGCGCTGGCATTGCTCATGTGAGGATATAGTTACGTACTTCCTGATGGAAAAAACCACCACACCAATTTTACACCCAGGATGTTTCATGCTGAATATCAACACCTAAGCTTTAAATCAGTTAATTATGTGACTGACTTTGCTTCTACATGTAAAGCACATACGCCCCAAGAGAATATATTCAGGTAATTAGAGAAGTCTATGATATTTTTGTGACAGCTTTTTGCTAGTATTTTACTTTAGTTTTTACTTCAGTTTTTACTTTAGTTTCTAATCAGAACACGGACAGAAAAGAATTGTAGTATGCTTAGAAAACATTAGCAATCATTCAAATATAGAAGGACCAATAAATGCACCAGCTTCAGTGGGAGAAGAGAAACTGCCAGATTACAATCTCTTTCCATGAAAGGACAGGTTGATTAGGTCCTGTTTGCTTTTGGAAATTGATTTTTACTACATTTTTGGAAGTGACTGCATTTATGGAGTTGGATGCAATTTAGGTTTTTGGGTGTCTGTCTCATAGCAAAGCATAGCAAATGAGAAAATTTGATTATTTTAAGGAATACCAATTCAATTTTTGTCCATTCCACTAAGGCACGTGAAAGGCAGCAACAAAAGCAAATTGCAGAGAAGTCTGAAACTTAAAAAAAAATCACTCCCAAGGAGTGTAAAACCTGTAAGTGCTTAAAGCCACGGATGTGACAGAAGTTTTCTTCGTTCCTCTCTCCCTCAAATCAACACGTCCAGATTTAACAAGCTCATTCCAGAAATCTAAGCAGCAACGTGAGCACTAAGTATCACTTCCCACTATCATGCCAACAATTCTGGTCCACCTAGCACAAAGACCTGGTTCACTGTGGATGACAACGGCACCACGAATCATTCAAATCACCTTTAGGTTAATTTTAATGAGCCGTAAAAATACAAAATTGAAGTCTGTACCAATGCAAACAACAATTCCTGTTAGTGAAGTATCTTAGGCACCTGATCAGAGTGCTAGATCGTTTTTAAAAGAAAACTACACATGCTGTTCAACATTTTGGGAGGTACCTGACAATGTGGATACTGGCTTACGCACATTTACATCGCACAGCAAGTCCTAGCACAGGACAAGAGCCTAGCAAAGCACTCTCAATTTTAGCACGTGGAGGGGGAAGAAGCAAGAGTAGAAGAGGGGAAAAACGAGTTTTTGCTCAAACTTTGCATAAAAATCCCGACTTCCTTTACTCTCATAATCTTTGTATTAAGACGGAAAGTATCTTTACGCTAATACTGAAATTACACTCATGAACTATGTAGCACTTAGAGACAGGAAGAGAAGCTGGAATAAATTACCAAACTCCTTTAAATGGGATCATTTCAGAGGTGCTCTAAAGTTTCAACCTTTCTGTAATGATCAGGCAGGTGTCTGAAAAAAGCACAACGTGATTTTTTTTCCAGGACACCGTGGAGAATATATTATAAGATTGTTCCAGATGTTGCTCCTTCCAGAGAGAATCTTTCATGCAAGGCTTTAATCCCAATCAGAACTAAACCAACTTCATGAAGACTTTTCCCCTTTGGTTTTATTTTGTTATAACTTTCAGGAATAGCTGGTAAACCAGCAAAATTATTTTTTTAACAGATTTCTCCCAGACATTGGGCATTTGCAGAAGCTATTTCTCTATGTTACAACAGTAAAGAAAAATCTTTCTGACAAAATAAATTTCATATTCTAAAAGAAAAAGTATTTAGGCAACCAAATGATTCTGTTATTAGAGCTATTTTGTAAGCAAGTTCTTAGTAATTGTCATGGATGAAAAGATTTTTATATAGCAGGTAAGCTTTCGCTTTTGGGAATGCTGATTTAACACATGACACCCTGTTAAGGACCTAAAATCGAACTTACTGGGAATTCCTCCTATAATTTTACAGACAGCAATGTACCAGTCACTGTAGATATGTAACATTTCACATGCAAGCTTAATGAACTTTCATCTTATCTTGTAATCAAAATTAAGCAGCTAAAACCTGAATTGAGCGTCTTCAATTTCCTCTAGTTCTTTGAGCTGCAATTAAGTCAGTGGCTATTTCAAATCAAAGCTTCAGAAATAACTGATGGTTAACTCCTGTTGGCTCATACATAGGCCTCATAATGCTGGGACTTCAAATTTAGACTGCAACCTTCTCTCCCAACCTTTCCAGCTTGGATGCACTACTCAGCAAAAACACAGGGAAGATGTTCAATTTTATATATTCAATTTTTTAGCATTAAGCTTTGTTCCTGTTATTGCCTCACCACTAGAAAGAAAACAGCACACGTTCATATTCTCTTTTTATTGTCTTCTTGAAAAAAGAATGAAATTAAGTGTTTTAAGTCTTTTTTTCAAAAGTCTATTAAAAATCCTTTTTAACACTTCTCTTCCCCTGCAAAAATTAAAGGACAAAACCTCACAGGTACACAAATGAGGCAGCTGGGTAACTTAAAGGAACTTGTCATTATTGTAAAATTATGTTTTGGTACATTTTTAAATGTAGAGCTAAACAAGAGTTCTTATAAGTGGTTTTTGAATTGTTTCAATAAGAAGCAAGCTGCTTAATTGTTATTTTACTCACCTGAAGTAGTCTGGTTGCTCACTTGATGAAGTAGGATCTGTGGAGGCAGTGCAAGTTTCTCCATCTCCTATAGAAAAGCAGAATTTTGATACTTGCAGTAAACAGATGTTTGATATAGCCATTATAGTAATATAATACCAACCTGATGAGCTTGAGAAAAATCCTTTAGTGTTTTATTCTCACAGTAAATCACTTGCAATAAGGTCTGTAAGTTAGTAACGGGGCTCGCACGACTTTCTCCACTGCAGGCAGTACCCGGGTTTAGAAAGAGGGCACAGATACTTTATTCTACAAGTTCTGCACTATCATAGCATTAGGCCAAGGTCAGCTTTTCTCATCTGAAGACATCATATGGTTTCTGAACAGCAAGTCAAGTCACGAAGCAACAGATGGAGGTGCATAAAAGACAGCAGCTCCTTCCCTGCCAGTTACAGATATCCAAAGTTAAGTAAGTCTTAATTTCAGCACTCTTTAAGCAGGAAAGTCATTAGCATTGTACACGAGTTACTGGCATTCAGGAAGATTCGATCCCCATTTATGTGGTGATATTGGGTTTGAAATTTATTTGCACTTGTAAATTATTCTCTTGCTCCTTTACATGGCATTATGAAAGCACAGTACGCTTAACCTCTAATCCTTCTTTTTAGAGGAATATTTTAGGAGCCTCCTATTTTTTTGATAAATAGGAAAAACGGTTGTCATAAGGAAAAGCTAGCTGGAACAGAAAGGAATACTTGCTGTCTTGCTAATCCCTCTCTCTGCTTTTCATTTGTGGTTTTGTCGCAAACTTAAAAACCACACAATCCTTCATATTTGTTATTATCTTACATTTCTGTTTAAACACACTACTTCTGCTAAACCTCAGCCATTCTTGCCAATCTCTAAGCTACCTGAGCCTTAAGTCACGTGCAGTGAAAAGAGCTTTCATGCAATGTTCTACCTTTTTATTTTTAATATTAAAATTATTATGTAGTATAGCAGGAGTATAGTGTAAAAGCGGAACAAAATTTCACCACTTCATGCCGTGACTGGAGCAAAATTCCACAGAAACGCAAATAATATTAATAGTCACAGTATGAACAATACAACTTATACAAGCAATTTTGCTCCACTTCTTCTCCAAAAACTCAAGCACGTTTGTTTGACATGGCTTGTTCCAGTGGAAAGCTTTAGTCTAAACACCAAGGTGAAACATAACACAGATTTTTCCTAACCTAGCTGCTCAGAACTTCGTTACTCACTTCTGGAGAAAGATGTTCATGTTCATAAATCAAGCATGAATATTTTCAAAGCAATCCCAAGCCATGTGGGCACTGCATAGTGTATCTAGGACAAATGTGAAAAGAGCATCTCAAAACATCCTTATCGACAAGCACAACCCTCCAAAGAGGCACCCTGCATGCTCTGAAGACGGCTGTGGGCTGTGATACAAAAGGGCTAAGCCTGACCTCATCTGCCAGCCAAACCTCTGAAATTAGACAACACAGATATAACAAAGGAACTGAGCTCTGCCCTACTTTTTTTTTTGGTGTGTAGGTGTGTGTTAAGAAATCAAGTATTCTTTGTACTCAAATATTCAAGCATCTTGTTTAGTTTTTCAATACCATTGCAAGTGTGCACCATTTCTACATCTTTTGAAGTAATCAATTCTGCAGCTAAGTTAGAGAGAAGCTCACAGCACAGCTCAAACTAAAATTCTCGTGAATTGCATGCCAGTTTATGTAGGTTTTAAGCTTTCCATGTAAAGGCAGGAGTTAAGATGAAATGCATTTGTGTCTGATCTATGTGCTTCAGTAAAGTAGTATGCAATACATGTGTGACAGGTTTTTATCTTCAGCATGAAGATTTTTAAACTTAATGATGGAAAAAATGGATTAAGTTTCAGTGAACTATCAGTTTACTGGATATCAAGCAAAAAAAAAAATCCATTCCTTGTGTTTTTCTAGCACCAAGCTCTTTGTTTTAATCAGTTTCTCTTCAACGGCAATCCATTTAAGATTTCTTTGCTCTAATGATTTTTGTATGATAGAGTAAGAATTTTTATAAAATGAACGTAACTTTAGACAAGGTTCCAGCAGAACAGCTTCTGGGTGCTTTTTGTGCATGGTTTTGTTTGTTTTTTTAACTAACAGTTAAAATGTAATGCAATGGCAGAAAAGAAGTATTGGTTCTTCCTGACGACAAAGTAGGGACAAAGGCAAAGCGCATTTATACAGCAAGTGAAAATATGGACCCTGCACATTTCCAGATCCCTTCTCACCAAGGTTACTCATATGGTCATTAGGAAAAGCAGCATATTAATACCTTTGCCTGAAACAAAACAGGTGGATTTTTCCAGCTTGGAAGTTTCTGCTTTTGTAAGGTCTTTCTCCTCCTCACTCACATTTGTAGTGTCCCGCATTTTGCTTTGATGCTCTTTGACCTCCTTGGGCTTTTTGTCTGCGGACTTGAGTGGCCTCAACTGTGTCACCGCAGGCACGGGGATTCCCCAGGGAATCCCTGAGGTGTATTTTTGTGGCCAGTTCTCGTAGATGCTACTTCTTCTTTGACAGAAGCTGTCCACCGGTAGGTCTTGTGTTCCCTGCCCCTCAGGGGTGCTGGGGGAGTTGGAAGTGATGGTTTGAGGAGGGTTGGAGGTGGGATGGAGCTTGGGAGGCAGCAGAGAACCAAAAGTAGCACTGGCTTCAGGGTGGGGAGATGACGGAAGGGCAGTGGCGGCTTTCTCGCTGAAGGCAGGCAAGTGGCTACCCAATGACAGCTGGACTCGACTGGTGACGTGAGATATCCTCTGCTTCTTGTTCATCAGAGGATTGGTAAGCTCAACATTTAACATCCGCTTCTGAAATAACAACAATAATAATAATAATAACAACAACAACAAAATAATAGATACTAAAAACATTATCAGAATTAAATTTTGCTCCCGTTCTGAGAAAGAAGCATTTCTGAACAGGCAAGGGTTCTTATCTAAAACACGGAAGCCCTGCAGCTAAATAGATGCTTCACTCCATTCTTAGTTTCTCATCTTAAGATTTAAGAAGTTGTTCCTCAAAACTAAAAGGCTTTGGGAGACAGATTCTCTCTTCAGCAAACTCTATCAAAGGCTTCACTGAGATAAGGAGGTCAGGTCGGGATTGTTTAGGTACGGGCTTTCGTTCAGACAAACGGGGATAATCGTCAGATTTTGCTGCCACACGATTTACGGCCGGTAGAGCAGCCCCCAGAAACAGGCAGCACTGCGCTTCACAGAGCGCGTGAAGGGCAAAGCTGATGACAATAGCTAAACCCCCCAGTTTTGCTACAGCTGCCATTCCAGCTGTTCTCCAGCTGACAGGATGGCTCACATCCTCTTTTCTAGCAAGCACGCACTTCTCACGCTGATGTACAAGAGGCAGCTTGGACTCGGAGTGCCAGGCGTGGCTCTCTGCCACCCTTCTGAAATATGTGTAAAGAGGTGTAAAGAAGTCCCTGGGACCTGCAGCATTTCATGCTCTGACTGGAAGAAAATTAAGGAAAATACAGAGGTGTGTCCTCCTTCCTCTGTTTAAACATAAATAACCCTGGGGTGAATGACTTCCTCCATTCCCCAGCTGTACACCGAGTGCAGTGAAGTGCAGTTTTAGTTACAGAAAGCATCAAACTTTTACTTAGAGTAATGCCTCTTATTTTTCCAAGCTTCTTCTAAACAGATTTGCATTGCCCTCCTCTATTGATAACAAAACAGGACATATGCCTTCTAAGTCTGAAAAGGCTGCGAGAAGGCAGATGTACTACCTTTTCACACCTGGACTACCCAGAATCAAAAATGGGTGCTTAAATGATGCCTATAGGAAAACAAAATAAAAAAAACCCCCAAACCTCCCATATTGCTGTCGTTATTCTAGGCCTTCCTAAGCTTTGCATTTAAACAGTAGCACAAGAATGTTTGACATATTTTGTTATGGCTACCATATCACAAAGAACCTTGACTGCACGCAACACATCCGAAGAAAAAAAATATCTGTATCTTGTCTTTGTAAGACATTCCTGTGCACCAAGATAAACAAGTCATATGGCAACACAAGACAGTTTTAAGTATTTAACCAAAAAGCATAGGGTTGTGTAACAACAGCAGGTAACCAACAAGTTAAACTCCACAGGCAAGTTTAGGCTTCTACGAGGTCAACATGCTCTGGACGGACAGTTACAATTTTGGCCAACGTGTTGTGTGTTCACACGTGACAGGAATAGTCTCTGTCACAGATCTAGGTGTATTCACAAAATACTATGTAGGCAGGACTTGTTTATTTCTCTGAATATTCTAATAAAAATCCTGAAATACAGAATGCTAAAAATAGCAGCCCCTAAGCTATGTGACTGTAAGTTTTTTGCAGTTTGAAGCAGTGTAATCACCTTTAAAAATAAATAAATAATCCAACTAGAAATATATGCTTCAGTTTTTCACTACACATCACAATTTTTACAGCAATATCAAGTGTGATAAATCTTAATACACTGTAAATGTTGAAAAAAATACAAAATACCTGAGAAGTTGCTGGTGGAGCATCTTTGTTAAAAGTTCCAGGAGATCCCAAAGGACTGGTGCTGGTGGCATTCTGAGACAGATTTAATCTTCTGTAAAGATGACCCAACATTTCAGGTTAAAAAGCAAAAAATTATTACGTCACAGTTCTTTCATTATAGGGAAGAGATATTAATTTCCCAGTAAAATCTGTTTAAATGGCTGTTTTGCTTCCCCTAGAGACTGAACTTACCTAGAAAGTATTAACTCCAATGACTGTTTATCTTTTTCATTGTATCCAGGCCAATCTTTTTTAATATCTTTAAAGAGATAATCCTTCAGACTGTAAGAATTATCCTTTGGATTCAGGGTGGCTACCTACAGGCAGACATTTAAGAAAATAAATTTTCATTATACCTAAATGCAAACTGCAGAAACAAGACTGGTACTACAAAGCTAAATCAAAGCTGAAAATGAAGCCATGCATCAGTTTTCCAGGTTTTTCATATGTGAAGATCAAAGTAGGTCTCACGTAATGAGCACCAGTTTTAAAGAATGTGGTCAGTTTGGCATGCAGAAATTTAGATTTAAGAAAATGCCAAACTGCTGCAAGCATGTATGAAACATATTCTATGGAAATCTCTCTCTGCACCCTATGTCTGGTTTCTCGCCTTTAATACAGCATTGAGAATCAAGGCAAGCTATGCCAAAACTTTAAATATTCATTGCATGAAGCACATTGAGAGGCCTAGCATGGGGCGATTTATTATTATTTTTATTTATTTTTCGTTTTCAAGAACACTATCTCCACATACAAATTCATGGTTGTTCAACTTCAGGAGGACCCCTGCTGTTCTTTTGTTTTACAACGGCAGAGCACAGACTGTGCCTGGAACAATGCATATTTTCCATCATACCATTAATGACCACAATGTCTTGATAAACAGAATTGTTCTTCTTTCTCAAGTGCCTGAGCCACAAGAAACTATAGCTTTCTACTGCACACAGTTGTATCCAATAACGTAAATGGCACTAAACTTCTTTCAGTAAAGAGACAAACTGTTCGTCTTTCCCACTAGTTTTAAGATATATGAAAGTTTTACGAACTGGCAAAATAACTGTATCTAACTTTGAAAACAAGATATAGTGCTAGAATGCTTCAGGAGCAGTGCACGGGCCCAGATGCACTCTTGATTTTGCAGACACAGCAAAGTATTGTCGTGTGAGAAGGTTCTGCCCATGCCTTGCTTTACACCTTTGAAAACAAAATGGGCTTATATCTTCTGTAAGAATATACAATGTACACTGAATAAGTTAAAATAAGCTAGTAAAATCCTGAGACCATTGGCAACTGAAGCACTGGTTTTGACTTCAACACCTGACATTTGTTCAGAGTTTCAGAGAAAACCTCTAAGAAAAACAGTCTCGGTCAATTTGACTAATACAAAATGCTGAATAAGTCATCGCCACACCACCAACACTTAATATGGCTTTGCCTATTTTTTTCCTCCAAAACATGACAAATACTGTTAACTCATGTCTGTGTGCAACGTCTGTCTGTGCTCAGCTTAAAAAAAAAATAAATTAAAAGTAACAAAGATACCCTGAAACAGTAATTTACTTGTTAGAACAGAACTTATTCTAAAAGAAGCAAATCTGTGTGGATTAGATGTTAGCAAGTTCAGGCTGCTGCTTTTAAATCTGTACAAAAAGACTCATTACGAACAAAGAGAAATATGAGCAAGGCTTTCAGGGTGTAGGGCTGCTATCATGACCACTTCTGAATGTAAAACCATTACCTTGAGGCAGTCCACATTACATAGCAGAAACAAGAAAGTCTCCTTAAACACTGCAAAGCATAATGGGACAGGAGAAAATTTCTGCAATGTTTATCCTTTCAGGAGCTGAGCTTTTAGAATTTTAACACCAAGTATAAATTGACTACTTCAATTTATCTGTAAGAACTTGGCTCTTGTTACACTGTGTGTGTCTTCAGGGTAAAAAAACCCCTTCTGTTGCACTGGGCAAACAAAGCAATAACAGCATATTCAACGAACAAGTTTTTAAAATTCAGTGTAGACTCAACCAAAGCTGTATAAATGATTAATTTTGCTTGCTTTCATAGGTTCGGAAAAAACCGTTTTTCCTAGATAAATAGGACATACTTGTCCTTTACATATTAATTCATGTGCAATGGAGTGACAGTCTATGGGTACAGGGAGTATTTAAAAAGGGAGGAGCCACTGCATTTTACAATACGTTTTACAGTAAAAAGTAAGCCTTTTCCAAACTGTTTTAGCAGAAGATTAGCAAGGGATTCTCTTGAACATACAGCTTAGAAGTTTCACCTGTAGAACATTCTAAGCTTACCAATAATTTTGATGGATATGATAAAGAAATCTAAGTGGATATTATCACAAAGGAGCACTGGAAAAGCTACTGAACAAAGTAAAGGTTTCAAGTATGATAAAGACACGAGCCACATCATAGCAGAGAAACACTGAGCTCGATTTCAGGCCATCACCTTTTTCTATTTTGGGCGGAATATCCTTCTCTGGATTGCAATTCTAACAGATCCCAAAAGAAGTCAAGTACTGTTTGCAGCCCCCAACTACACTCAAATGAAATACTAACCTATGCGATTACCAAACTTTCCTTCTCATAAACTGGTCACAAGAAACATTAAGTACTATGACAAACTATTTCTTGCAGTCAAAAGACTGCATGGTCAGTTTCTCTCAGTTAAGCAGTCCAACTAAAATAAGCAGAGAGGAAAAAAAAATGCAATGTTTGGAGCAAAGCAGTGACAAATAATTACTGCCTGCCATTCTAGCAAAGCAAAAACAATCTTCAAAAAAATTTTAATCTCTCCTTTCCTTTCCTCACATTGACTTGCAGTTTGGGGCATCTATGTAAAATTTATTGAAAAACTTAAACCAGGAGCAGGAAAAAAACCTGCTGTCACAAACTCCATGATCTCACCTGGTGAAGTATGGTTCCAAGGCAATTCTTGTCCCTCTGGTTGACACCATCTCTGCGCAAGCGAGCAAGTAACTCTGGCTTCTTGTAGTTCTTCAGTGCTAATAAGTGAATGATCCTGTCTCTGTACGGTTGCTGAGAAATGGCGTTGTGCATCTGAGTCCTCCGCGCTGTGTTCGCAGGGTTCACCAGTGTTGATTTCTTCCTCTCAGGCATAGTAAGTGGAAAGTTGAGTGATGCTCTTTTCACCTGGACTCTTCCTCCTAAAGGGGAGAAAACAAAAAAAAACCAACCAAAAGTTGACTTAAAAGAATTTATAAAGCCAAACTCTAAAAGGGATATTTAGTTGGCATTTTGAGATCTGTAAGAAAGCAGGTAGTAAATATGCATTGAGCTAGGCATTAACAAATACTTTATATTAGGAAAAGATGGTAAATGAGTGATATTGCTAGGAAGAGCTTTCTGATTATTTATATAGATGGTGGTTTTAGTATTTTTCCAGTTTTTAAGTTCAAGCACTGAATACCCAAAATCAGGCTTTTTTTTTTTTTTTTTAAGAAGAGTATTCTAAAATGTGATGCAAAGATCTTCCATATAATCAAAAGATTCCCCACTGATGCCTAGGAAGACAAGTCCACACAATTAATTGCATCACTGCTTAAAGAAACTGCTAACTTTGTGTTCACCACCTGAATTTCACCACATTTTAAGCTGAAATGTTCCTTTTCTATTAAATAAACCCAGGTTTGTAGAAATAATATACTAAAACTGTAACAATTTTTGGGCCAAAGGCCAGAGAAGTTTTTAAACACAATTTGTATAGCATTTAGGATCAAACTCCATACAAATACTTTTTTCTCAATTGGAATACCAATGCAAGGGTTTGCAAGCGATGAGTCCAGAATTTAAGTACACCAGTTGTACTCAGTTTTTCAGAAAAAGATTAAAACCTTGCTACTCTGTGTTTTCAAATAGCATTTGCTATCAGACAGAAAAAGACTATTTATCAGAATATTACAGAATATCATTGTAGTAAATATTGTCTGCAATCCAACAGATGATGCGAGACAAACCTGGCATTTTTCCGAAACCAACAATTCATGTTTAGTACATGAGGGAGACTTAATGAATATTGTTGAGAAAATCTCGAGCTTGCTCCCTTCTATCAGACACACAGAGACTGAGCTGCGGTCCTCAGGAATAGCAAAAATTCATTTCCATTTTGCACTGAAGGCCGAACTTTTATAACCTTTCCACTCTGCCTGAACTTCAACCTTCTAGTTTTCAAGAACAAACTTAATCATGCAAATGCACACACTTAAATTTTTAGAACAGTACAAACTTGATAGTTGTTTATTGATCACATTACAGATATTTTCACAAATTAAATTCAACATGGATACACAGACCCCTGGCACAACTGATAGTATAAGCAGCATTCAGACAAACACCTCTTAAAGTCAGGTTTCTAAACCACTTTAAAAAAAATTAACTGAAAACATAACCAAGCAATAACATGATTAATAACTCAAATTCCTAATTTGTACTGCATGATGCATGTTGCAAAGTCTCCCCTGTGCCCTACCAGCAACCAGAACTGCTCCGCCTGAGCCTTCTCAATGCCAGTCTGAAAGAAAAAGTACTCCCAAATAATTGTAATTGTCCGTCCTACTGTCTGTTTTCAGATCCCATTTATTTAATGTTAAATAATCAAGATCTATTTAAACCACCAACAAGAACCACACCAGTTATTCATACATAAAACACAACTTCCCCAATGAGAAGTTGTGAAATACACGAAAGCAGCTCCTGCCACAGTGTTGATGAGAAGCAGTTTAGACAATAAAAGGGAAGAAATCCCAGCTCCACGTCCTGATATTAACCTATGCTGAGCTCCCTCAGCTTTGCATCTCCAAAAAAGCCACACTGTTGCTGGCTTAAGAAGCTCCACAGTAAGCTGAGGCCGAGTAAGCGTTGCACCATCACTGTCAGGGATGGCCTTGCTGGAGGAGGAAGGCAGCCGTGGCCAAGTGAGAGCTTGTTGTCCTTCATGAAGGTGGATGCACCCAGTTCAACTCGCTGCTGCAGGCAGGACCACCGCTGCCTGTACCACTGAATGCCTATAAGGTGGATGTTCATCTTGCATCTATCTGCAGTTGGCTCCAGGCTCTTGGAGAAACGGCACTTGGAGGAGTTTAATAACAACTGATACCACCTAAGTGCTTTTCTGTTTTGTGGAAAATGATGAAATCCATGGGAAGATGCCAACATTACCTTACTTTAACTTTTAAATAATAAAAACCCCTAACAACGCCACGGTCTCCTGGTGAAACTTCCTTTTTAATCAGCAAGACATAAAATTAAATTTAATAATAAAAATTTAAATTAATAAAATTCAAGCAGCATCAGCATTAGTGTGAAAAGTCAAGTTTTTAACATTAAGCTTACAAATTGGTATACAAGACTTCCTCGGTGTTAATTGTTTTAGATTATAAATTCAGGTTAATGGTTTAGCACAGTATTTAGGTACTCAAAAGTACTGCTATAAAAACAAAACATTAGTTACTAAACCACAGAATTTAAGGGCATGGGTTGGTAAAAACCCTCACCTCAACAGTCAAATTTTCATCCAGTCAAGAAATATGAAAAAGGAAGGAGTGGCAGGCTTTTTTTGGGAGAAAAAAAGACTAGTATCTGAATGCAGCAACAGAAGACTGCAAATATGTGACATAAGTGCAGGCCACCTACACCTGAGACCTCTGAAGACACCACCTTTCCCAAGCATACACTGAAAAGTTGAATTACTGTGTTTGAAAGCTTACAGACATCTAGTAAGAAGTGAAATACAATCATACCTAAAATTGGTCCACCAGGTTTAATAAACTTTGCAGTTCGATTGCGCAACTCCTCTTCTGCCCGGGTCATGCGCTCTCTGGTCGTCTCATAGGAATCCCTTGTTGCACATACTGTAATTTTATTCTGTATTAATCCCAGGCAACTGAGTTGCAAGGCGTCAGAACTACAAAAACATTGAAAAAGGTTGAGCCCAAGCACTACGTTCAGGTTTAGAAGTACGGTTGTGTAAGGAACCTTAAAACCTGTCTTAACAGGTGAAGGAAAACATTTCCCAGTTATGACAGCTAGCTAGGGCACAAATATATTTTTCAAATTGTCTCTACACATCCAAACGGTATCCTTTTTACCTGTTGGTGTAATGACAGTTTCCTCACATAACCGCACCCGAGAGGCAGGCTGGTAAAGGCTCCATGACCACTGGAGGCCTGACTTGGCCGGTTTCACTGGCACCCTAATGGTGGGCAGGTCCTGCCCTGCAGGGTTTCCACCAAGCTCTCAGCTCAGCACGTCTCCTCTTCTCCTCCCAAGGTGGCCAGAAGTGGCCCAAAGCCCCGGGAGGGCAGGACAGCCTTCCCTTGAGACCTGCGCCCTGGCCTCCCTTCATCTTGCTTCCAAAGATGTCTGCCCTCCTCTTCTCCTCAGCTACTCTGCGCGCTGGGAGCGCTCACAGTCCGCCCGCCTGCTCCTCTGAGGATTCACGCTGAGAAGAAGCACTTAGAGCAAACCCTGCCCCAGGGGAACGATGGCGGGGTCTCCTCAATGGCGTCCGCTGGGCCTCAGGATGAAGTCAGTCCTCCGTGGCCAGTCTGCCAGGACAACACCTCAGGGGACTAGAAGCCACTTTGTTTAAGCCAGCCTAATTATCACCACTCTTAATGAGTACACTGTGCAGCACCACAATAGCTTTAGACAACCCCAAAAAACTTCAACGACCGTGAAACTCTCCACCCAGGCTCCAAGAAGAGTCGAGAATCTTGTGCCTCAGCTTAGCGCACCATCCCTGCAAGCCACAAAGCCAGAACCAGCCACTCACAAGTATTTCAAGACGACACAGCTACAGCTTTGTCCATATCCTGAAATCACCACATTTACAGAAGGAAGAAATGTCCTTCCAGCCACCTAAAGCTCTGTTTTTTCCTGTTGCCTGTTTCCTTGAACATCGCTGCCTTTACGCGCTTTTCCATCACTGACCAAGAGGTAACCCTCCTCCTCGGGCCGGGCATCTCCAAAGCCCACGCCGGTTCCGAAGCTAGACTTGTCTTGAGCACAGAGTTAGACTATTCACTGTGCAGAGGTCCTGCTTGGTTTTATTTATATTTTTTTTAAAGGCTCTGCACGTAACAATACACAAGTTCCACATCAACTTTCCAGGCACAAACTAAGAGATGGCTACAACAGACCTTGCAAAAGACAGTTTGAATTCAATTTTGAAGATTAATAAAATCACATTAAAACTACCTAGGCATGTTAGTCATAATTATTCAGGGCTAAAGAGGCTTAAACTTAATGTTCCTGGAAAAAATACAGTTTAATTCAGCTGAAGATGCTCCTTCCCAAGCAGCTGCCCAATCCCTTTCAGATATACTTTAATCAAAAAATAAACAAAGAAACAAACGAACCAACCCACAAAACCCTAGACTGGCCCAGGCTCCCCCAGGTCTGCCACCACGTCCGTGAGTTCACTGAAAGGCTGTAGTGTGGTAGAAGGGGAGAAAGAGGAGGAGGAGTATGCTCAGAGACCTCCTGTTAGGCAAAGAGCTATTAAATGAGCTCAACTTCTTTTTCCTTCCAAAACCTGCTACCTAGACAAATCTCTGTTTGAAAATTGAGGGCAGAAGCTCTGCCGTGATCGAGAACCTGAGTAGCACCTTTTGGAGACCTGTCAGTGTCCCCGTTTGCTATCAGCTCCCCAGATCAATACACAAACTCTAGCTGCGATGTCCTAGTTTATCAAATGGGGCAAACAGTTATTTAACACCACTGAACTACGCTGATACTACACTGAACATAATATTGTTGAAGTTGAAGCAAACCTGATGTAAAAGCATAGTATTTTCCCGCCTTTGCCACAGAGGAGCAGGACAAGGTGCTGCTGTATTACATTTCGGTTCTGAAACACCACAGTCATGCAATTAACGACAAAGTCACCGATTTACGTGTTTTTTTTTATTTTAAGACAACTATCCATGATGGCCAGCATGTTAGCATGCTGACAGCCATTATCTTATTTACATATGGTTGTAGACCGGATCTGGTCTAGCTTGGGTACTGCTGATCTCCAAACGCTTTTAAAATAGCATTAAGAGGTGAGAAAGTACTCAAAAGTTACTTTTTAAAGAGCCAACCCCAAAAGAATTCTGTGTAAAAGCAAGTATTCATAACTAGCAAGAAAACATGCCATTGCTAGGAATAAATCTTCTATTGCAGCTCATCACTAGGAGCAGGCTTCTGTTAAAGGTTTCTGCTATACACTCAAATCCACAGAAATTTGCCATGAAAGAAAACATTAAGGAAAACCTACCTTGAGCCCATTTGCTTGACACAGTCAAAGCTTCCCTGAGGATTATCTTTGCCAATATTTGACACGTGGAAGTCAAATATATGAGCTTCATTTGGCTGATCAGCTTTAGGAATTTTAATAAGCTAAAAGGGAAAAAAAACCTGTGTAAAAACTTCAATCTACACTCCTTTGCTTGCAATTAACTAGGACTGTAATTTTAATTCAGAAACTGTATTTTGAAAGCTTTGATATGATTTTAAGTCATGTCACTAAAGAGGTTGCTTTGGTACAATTCTCTCTCTGAAAGAAGCAGCATCTTTCACAGTGGTAACTGCACTGGAGAAGATACAGTCAGTTGCTCAGGCTCTAACTCAGCACAGCAGCAAGCCCTCCCTTCTCATTTAATGGAATTAATATGCATGTACTTAAATTTAAATGCAAGTGTCTCAGTATAATCAAATGGATCGAAGCTTGGCTAACAAAACAGAGAGGAGCAATTCACACAGATCACATCAGACTCTAACTGTGGTTTATCTGATGCTAATGAACCACATGTGGGAGCCAGCCCCAAGAACTAAAAAAAACCAAAACCAAACAGCAAGGCCCAAATTACAGGAGTAAAATGTCTTAAAACTATAGAAGATGAATTTCAACTCCAACAGCTTTTTTTTCTTTTACTTAGCTCTAGATGCAATTATTTGCATAAAAGTGAAATGTAAACGGTTTTCTTTAAGTTTAGTCAGAGGTAGCAAAACTTGATTTCCTTCGCTGAACTAGTAATTTTAGTATAGAATGTGCTGCATTCTGCTGGAGCTTAAAAATGTAAATATGAGAAATCATATTAGCATAAGCACATTTTTCACTGTGCCGCTATACAAAACAATACTAAAGCACAAAGAAACTACCGCCATTTAACTACTTTAATCTGAATGTAAAATCAGCTTGCAGTAAATCTAAAAAAGTATTCTTCTGAAGTTTGTTTGAATTATTAATCAATTATAGATACAACTGATGAAGAAATATATGTAAAAGCAATATTCAACAGTCTCTTAGAAATCTTTCTCCCCATACCGTGCTTGTGAGATTGGCCAATTGTGCAATGTCACCTGCACAAAGTTCTACTACAGAACAATTTAGTACCATTTATATTTTAATAACCAGTACTGTAGAGCTTACCAACAGCTTGGGACAGTGACTAGACATGGAGGAAAAAGATAAGTCACCTGAACATCATATTCTACCAAAGCTGACAGCACTAGTAAGCTTAAAAGACAAATCTGTGCATTTTATATAAGAACGGAAATAAATCAGGTAAATTACAAAACACATAAACTTGGATTACACATGTGGCTCTACCTTTTAATGATTATGAAAGTTACTAGAGTGCAACCATCAACCCAAGAGTACCATAGGGGCCTAAACAACACTGGAACATCTACTTTCTGTAAAATTAACTACTACTGACTGGATATTTCAACATAGTAGTTTTATTATAAGTACAGAAGTTGTGTGTATGAATTTGACAGTTTGATGAGGGAATGTTTTTTAGCCCAATATAGTTTTTTAGAAAGCAAACAAATACATACTATGATCAATCTCAGTCTGGCCCTTCAGAAATACAGCCAAGCAGAGGGATGCAGGTAACTGCTGCTGTGTATGCTTGGACTTAATTCCCAAAGTTGATTTTGAGGAAATTATTTTCCATTGATCAGCCTAAAGAATGTATACACATGAAATCATCTTAAAAATCAGAAATTTCCATATCCTAGCATTTATATTTAAAATTCTGGAAGAACTGCAATGGGCATTAAACAACAGAGTGGCTCAATATGTTCTGACAGATTAACACGAAGACAGAAGCTGGCCTTAGAGCACATTTAAAAACATGTTTGTTACTCTTCCACTCTCTTCCGTGAGGCCTTATTTCTCCCAAATATTGAAAAAGACACTGATAAAGTATGAAGAAAAACAAGTCTGCCTCGTTACAGGCAGATGCCTATGAAGCTTATCACTGACAATCGTTTCTCAGGAGTAAACTCAATTAGAAGCACCAAATTTCTTAAGAGTCTCCCATACACATACATAGTGTAAGAAAGACACTAGAGATGATGAGGGAACCATCTGTTGCAACCGTTGCAACAGGTTTATTGACACGAGCAAACAAAAAGTCTAGAAATTTAGTTTCATTCTTAAATTTTAGGATGTGTTTTCACAAACTTTGGAAGAACTAGATTACTATTGCTCACGCATTCATTAATTTAGATGAAGAGAATGCAAGAATGCTGAGGAAATATTTCTCTGCTAGAAACTTTCAAAAGCAGCAGTGCAACTAACCTGAGAACAAAGATGTAACTCTCTCACCCCCAGTTCCAAAGTTTTATTATGTAATCTGTAAAACAAGCCTTTCATTTCTTCCTGAACTCGTCTTTGGGTCCATTCCGCATAGCCACACAGCCAAAGGCTTCATACCTCAAACAAGCAAATTTATTGAAGTCTGTCATAATTCAGATAAACCAGTTTAATAAGCTGGAGACAAGCTCCGGTGAGAAAAAAAAATGTATTTTAAATTGTATTAAATGCAACTAAATCAGATAGGCTTATTTCCCATATTGTAGTTCAAAAGTAGAAGCCCAAACATTTACGAAACTGAATGTAGGTTAGTTACTGAAAGTGTAGGTAATACAAAAGCTGGCAGGGACAAATAGTATGAGGGTGAAGTTAAAACTCACGGTTTGCATGCAGGACCTGCTGCTCTTGATCTGCCTCACCAGAGGTTCTCACCACATTACCACCACCATCACATCGCTGCTCCTGAGAAGCACGATGCTTCAGCAGCACAAACCTCAGCCCTGGCACACCGTCCCCTACCAAACGCCACCCACCAGCATCAACAGATGTCTTTGCAAAGACAACTTCATCCTCTGGCAAAGAAAGTAAACTTATCTTAAAGAGGCAGGCTTGCAAAGCATTGCGTTCTTGCTAGGCAACGTGCGGTCTAGACCATACTCCTAGGATATTTACATATTTAGGGCTACCTAGAGAAAGCAATACTTGAAGGGGATAAATTTGCTGAAAACACTTAGGTTTGCAAAAACCACTGTCCCCTCAAACATTTAAGATCAAGTTTTACTGCTGCTGACATATTTGTCATTTCTCTGTACCTTGCAAGACAAAATAACACTTGTTTGTAGACTCAGCAACTTCTGAAATAAGTCTCATGTTTTGAATAAACAGCCCTGTTTTTAAACTGTAAATTGATATTATACAGCTCTGAACAGTTCAATAGTCAGTTCAAGGATTTTTGGTTTAATCAGAATTAAGATACTGCATTCAGCTTGAGATAAGCTCAGCAGCAAAAAAGTTTGGTTTTCCTATTTGAGAAGTATTTAAAGAAGGTCAAGGAGCCTTTCTTAAGAAAATACTCATTGCAACCATATCCATAACAGAAAATAGATTTTGGTTTGCATCAGAAAGCAGCACTGCAAGCTTATTGTCACTATGTTTGTTTCAGAGAATCTGCTTTTGATTTGTATTGAACCTTCCATGTACGAAGAGCAGCCTGGCGTTGCAGTATATGGAAAAGGAATTCGCTGCATGCTCTTAGAGAAAAGAGGGACGTTCCTGAACGGTAAACACTCATCGTTATGTATAGCTGATCTACACTTTTTCCAGAAATAGTGAAGTCTTTACCTCAATCTTTTATTAGATCTACTGTATCCTTACCAGCAGCCAGCCTAATAGGGCAATGAAAGGAGATGAGGAAGGCCTGAAGAGAAGATGCATGTTTGCACACCTCATCCAAAGAGTGACACTGGTCCTGTCCAGACAAGGGAAAAGGCAACCTTTTCCTGGAGAAACTGGCTGCTCATGGCTTGGACAGGCATACTCTTTGCTGAGTAAAAAACTGCCTGGAAGGCCAGGCCTGAAGAGTGGTGGGGAACGGAGTTAAATCCAGTTGGCAGCTGCTCACAAGAGGTGTGTCCCCGCGAACAGTCCCATTTAACATCTTTATCAATGGTCTGGGCAACGGGATTGAGTGTTTCCTCATTTAGAGATGACACCAAACTGAGCAGGAGCTCTGATGTGCTGAAGGGCAGGGGGCTCTGCAGAGGAACATGGACATGCTGGGTCCATGGGCTGGATCCAGGAGCTGGAGCGTGTCCAGAGAAGGGCG